GCTAATGTTGTTTGTAATATTTTTGTACAAAATTCACTTCGAAGTGCCTTATGGACGAATTAAGCTAAACGCATGAGTGTGCAAATGTAATTTATTATTTTTGGATAATCGTATTTAACATGTTTATCGTCTGAAATTTTTTTAAAGCGAAATTTCTAAGAAATTATAGATTTATAAGACTATTGAAAGCACTACGCTTACGCGCAAGATCTTGTTTGAATCGAGAGCTTGTTTGGACAGCACAACAAAAATAATAATAATAATATACATATATTGCGTGAGAAACTGCGAGATATTTTTCGATATGGTATTTGTATGGTATTTTTATACCACCTTTTCGAAACGTGCCAACACATCTTTTTATCGTATCATCCCTAATTATATTATATCTTAATTTTTAGGACGAGTGGTGTACCAACGTGATACTGATACAATGATGTAATACTTAATATGTTAAATGTTACAGTAAATTATTTTTTTTTTTTTTGTTACATGATGATACAAATTGCTATGAATAAGATTAAAGATTAAAAGGAAAATGTTAGACGGCCAATATTAGGATATAAACTTTGTAGATAAATCATAGTGAAGTAAGAGATTATTGATTAATGCTCATGGACGACGTGCATGATAGTTATTCATTTCGTGAGAATGCGTATGTGTGCGTATTTGTTGGTATGTGTGACTTTCATAATTAAATTGGGGATGTTTATGCAAATTTATATTTTTTACGAAAATAATTAAAGAGAATCTAAAAAAGAAATGTATTATTACTTAGTGCCTTGATTTGGTTATTTTGTATATTTTTGCATATTATATATATACATATATATTTTATAAATTTTTGCGTAAACATCCCCAGTCTATTCATTAAAATCATTGTAAAGAAAATAAATCGTAAGATAGTTGAGAAAGCATTTTTTTTTAGATTATTACATGTTCGATTCGATCGACCGAAACGATCTTAGAGCCTCTTTAATTTTTATAAAATATCGTGTGCCTTTCGTAATCGTCATTCATCGTTGGACGATAAAAAAAGTGCGTAGAGAGAAGTCTTAAAAACTTAGCGTACCTAATGCTGTTTCACAATTTCCTTTTTTTTTTTTCTGTTATACAAACGATTTTGTACGAATTTTATTATATCCACGAAGTGCGAGGAGCATTGTGAATATTATACATATCTATCATATACATATAGCGTAGTGATTCAAATATTGCGAATGGAAAGAATAAGTTTTACACCCTGAAAATTGTTAATTATTTTAAAATAAATCATATCGATCCCATCAACGATACATTCTCGTCTCATTCGAATTCTTTTGAAATTCTCACCAGTCCTTTACAATTGATTATAAATACACGTTTATACGTTGGTTTTTTGATAAATTCTTTATTTATACAGCGAAATTAGTAGGTACAATTCGTATAAGGTACAAAACAGGAACGGATTCGAGAGTGATCACATACGAATTCTCGGTTAGGAACAACGAGACGTTATTATTACTTACATTGATAAAATGACGGCACATTGATAATAAAAAAGATTCGTGCTTGAAAAAAATAAAGACAAAAAAAAAAGGATATTTAATAGAAATATTCGACAGCTTTGAATCAATGATATGTTCCAAAATCTTTCTCAAAATTACTTAAAAATTTAATTATTCAATTATTTGATTATATTAGAGACAACACATTTATACCTTCTTTTTTAATTTCAGTTTAAGAAATAGATTATTCTTAATCTATTTTTGAGGATGAAAATTTGAGAAATTGATCGTGTCATCTCAAATTATATAATTCCTCTTTGGGAGCCAACACGTTTCTCGAGACGAAACACGAGCGAGGGACGCGTGTTTTTCACGTTTCCGTGTTCGACAAAAATAAACGCGGCGTAATCGTGTAATTAAAAAAGTGTAGGCGTCTCAAGGCGCGTTATCGGATGATGGTTCGTTGGAATCGCCACTCGAGACTGGTTTCTCGGTATTTTTAGTATCCTCAGTGGTCGATGATTCAGGTACCTGAACAATAATACGATCAAGACACGTCATTGTAAATATATATGGTTAATAAACTTTATATTATGTTACATATAATATATAAGTAATTGATAAATAATATTAACAAATTAATTGTATTATATGTATAATTCTATATAATAATTAAATCAATCGTTACTCCTTTTTGCATAATTATATTAATAATATTATTATTAAAATTTTACGAATCACCAAAAAAATAACTCTAAAAATTTCATTTTGACGAATAGATATAAATTTGACGATACAATGTATAACATGTAACTTATTGCATCTTTAATATCAATAATTGATATATTATTATGTGAAAATTATTATAATATGTTTACTTAATTTTAAAATATTTAATGTTTAATATATCTATAGTATTCTAAAATTAAATGATTATGTTATATTGTTTCACGACTATTTTTAATCATTTAGTAAAGAAACAAATAAAAATACTATTTCTCGAAATCGAGAATAATAAATTTCAAATAATGAATAATACTATGACTTAGTCATTTTTAAAAGAACAGTATACAAAAGCAAAACCATGAATTATCATTGCGCGAACATGAAGATTAGGACACGTGCCAAATACTTGGAAACTAAAAATTCAACTAACTTATAAAAAAAAGAATTTTTTTGTAAATAAAATATCCTTACCTGACGAGGTAGATCTGACAATGTGGTCCTTAATCTTCTACTGGGCAGAACATCGGGCATAGGAGGAGGTACTGGTGGCTCTCCATAGACCTCGTGAAGCTCTTCAAGTCTAGTGCTCAACGCAGATCCTCTCCTATTGGTCGCGTTCATCTTGTTCATCAACCATTTAGCCTGTTCCTCCAATCTTTTCAACCTATCCTCCCTAGCTGATAAAACCTCCTCCGGTGTCCTATTCTTTCCACCAACCACTTTCTTCTCCTCCTGTTTCACCGACCCACCAGCCTCCAAATTGGCGACTCGTTTGCCAATTTCACCTGGCAAACACGAGGAAGCAGATTCCCCCGCCGCAGTGGAGAACTCTTTGACCGTTTCCAAACTCGACGATGAATCCACCGACACGTTATCCGAGTCAACGACGTTGTCTAACGACCTAGTGCCTCGCTTTTCCTTGGCTTCCATCTCTTCACTCGCTGACGAATTGAAAGAGGACGACACGTTTGACAAAGACGAGCCAAAAACTGGAGAAAAAAATGGATTAGATGGACCGACGATCAATGGATCGCTAAATTGAACGTTTTTCACGATCGAAGGTGGCACGCTGGAAGGAAGGGCCCGATAGAGAAGACAGGCTGCACACTGGCTGGACTAGTCACATTGGTTACACAGGACGATATCAGGGATTCTTCGTTCTTTGTTCTCTCACCATCCGTGTTCGTTGCATTTCGAGCATCATTTGCGAGCATCAATGGCTGATTATCTACCGAAGTATCGAGGATAAGATCATCTTTGGTAATGGTTTCCGAAGGCGACGTAGACCAAGATTCTATAGTCGGCCCCTTGATGTCTAATTCTTCCAAACGACCCTCCTTGGCCATGTCTTTTACCATGTTTTCGTTTGGACTTGCAAAGTTTGCTGAGGTTATGCTTTCTATCCCTATGAGATCCTGGATGACGTTCGTTAGAGCCTGATCCAAAGGATTTAACGGTTCCTGTGGACTTTCTGGCATCAGCTGCTGCGAAAGAGGAATCTCGATAATATAATTGTTAGTTAATTGATAGTTTTCAACTTACTGGTGACTCTATCGCATTTGTAGATTCAACATTTAAACTCGTGTCTGCTACTTCGTTATCATCTAGCTCTGCCTCCGTTTCTGGAGTAGGTGTTCGCTGTTCTAACGTTGTTGAGGAACCTGTCTTCGGCTCGGATAGTTCCGTGTCGGTTGGCTGCTCTGATTCTGTATCTGGGGTAGGTGCTCGAGGACTCTCCTAAAAAAATATTACGTGATTTTAATAAATATCGAATTATATCACTGATCGATTTTTAACCTTTCGCGGTCTTCTGCGTGGACCTAGCCTAATTCTTCCTTCCACAGCGTTGTCCTCTTCGTCAGTATCGTCTCCTCGTTCATCGCTGAATCCACTTTCCGCACTGTAATAAAAAATGAAATAATTCAAAGATGTTTTACAAATGTTATATCTTACCTGTTGTTGAAAGAATCATGAGAAGCCAAAGCTTTCCTAGCAGCAAACTCTCGCCTCAAGCTTCTCCATTCCAACTCCGTATTTGTGTTTTTCTGTCTAGCCGATTCCCATTTCTCGCGACAGTATTCCAACTCCTGCTTCAACTCTTGCAACATTTTACGCTTTTGCTGCAATTCGTATCGCAAAATTTTCTCATGCGTGTGAAGTTGATGGTGTTGGACCTGCATTCGATCGACTATCGTCCAAGTTTTGCTCAATTCCGCCGATACTGCTGACAATCTCTTCTCCTAGAAACATACAGATTTAATTTACGAAATTTTTATGAAAAATAATAATGTTTTATAGATAGGGAAAGATTATTATTTCTCACCTGCTCTCCAAGTTTGCATTCCAAATGGACGTTCAACTGTTTCATTCGGTTCATCTCCTTCTCCAAATGTTTCTTCTCTAATATCAATTCCTTCAGACGAATGTACGTTTTGCTGACTGAGATCACCAATCTGGGACCAGTCGGTGTATCGACAGACTTGTAGCAGATGTTGGGGTCCGAGGAAGATGCCGCGGAAGCGGACGAAGCACCTTCTGCGTGACAACTCAGCAATTCCAACAGAACACGCCATACCTGATACAAAGTATCTCTAGTTATAAATTTCTTGATTCAGAAAAATTGAAATAATGATATAAAATAAATCTTTAATCGTTACTTTGGGCAGGTTATGGGCTATGTCTTCCTGCTGTAAGTCGTCTTCTTTCTTCTCTGCTTCGCCTTCAATTCCGTTTTCACCGTCAGCGCGTTTCTCAGATGTTTTACTGCCCTCCACTTGCTCGATTAAGTCGAGAAGAAGTTTTGGAAGCGCTGCGGCCTCGGTGCCTTCCTCTCTCGCCATGTCGCATATCAGATCGTGATTCTCCTAAGAGAAGAAATATGTCAAAAAGTAGTAAAAAAAGATATAATGTAACTTGTTGAAATATTATCACACGTCTTTATGAATCGCTGTTAGACATTGACAAAAGAATAATCAATCAAATCAACAATTAAAAATGAATAATTCTTATACCTGAAGTAACTGAGTCAATCGATCAAGATCCATGTCAGCAGAGGTGGCACCTAACAGCATTTGCGTGAACAAGCTGTTAATTAGTGACATCTGATTCTGGAGATCCCTGCAATCCGCCTTAGTGAGGCCCAATTGGGATTCCAAATTTGTTATCTCCGTATCCTGTGCATCGATCTGTCTCCACCCCCCCCAAAAAAAATACATCTCGAATATAAAAATAAATATTTCACGAACTCTTTTAAACGAGTAAAGAATGAATTCATTAAATAAATAATAGAGATTTATGATATTGATTATGATGAATTGATTAAACGAGAAATAATCATAATCAGATAGATTTCTATTACCTAGTTATATAAATTTTTTTTGCCTATATCAGGAAAACACTCTTTTTTAATACCTTCTCGTCAGCCTTCTTTAAGTCCTCCTCCAGACACTCGCATTGTTTCATCGAGTGATCTAATCTCACCCTGGTCTCCGCGAGCTCCCTGATGGCCGTCTCCTTCAGTTCGTTCAGCACTTTCAGCCTCTCGTTGTAGAGGCTCTTCAGGCTATTGATATTCTCTAGCTGACGTTCGCACTCCAGGCCAACGTCGTCCTTCAACTCCAAGAAGCTTCTGTCTCCGAGTTGGAGAAGAATCTGCGCTAGATGGTCCTTCAACTCGTTGGCACGGCGTTCCCTGAGGTAAACGGCTTCTCGCGTCCGGTTGGTTAAGTCTGACAAACAACGGATACGATACCGGTGCTGGTCGGATTCCGTTTCCAGCTGGTAGCGGAGATCATCTGCTTTGTCTATTTGAATGCGGATGTCGCTCCTCAGCTCGTCGGATATCTAATGTCGAGATGAGCAAATGGAATCAATTATAAAAAGAAGGCTCGATGATTTTTTAATACGTTGTAAAATGAGATCATTGTTCTAATTGTAGAGATTTTGCTTGGCGATCTTTGATTGATTGAAAAAGATTATTGTTTATTATATAATCTAATATAACTTGTATGTATAAATAAAAAATTATATATAAATTTTTGTTTGATATCAATTATTTCAAATAAAAATTTATTTAAGTGTTAGTTGATTAGGTTTGAATTAGTTTGATCTAACTTGTCTGTAGCAATAAATTAAAACTCAATTGATTAATCTAAAGAGAAATATTTTTGTTAATAATTTTTTAATGAACTATCGTCAGATAATCTTTGCAACACAACTCAGAATGATAATATATTAAAAAATCATCAAAATCGAAGAGTGATAACTTTTCGTAAAAAATAGTTAATTTTGAGAATTAATTTTTAACGAAAATAAATGAGAATTCTAAAATTAATTTTAGAAATATTTTCGTATTATTTATGGAAGCAAAAATTAATCTATAAATTAATAAACATAAGTTCATTATTTACAATAATATTACAATATTATAGGATCATTTAACCGTTAAGACAAAAGAAAGTAGATTATGTCAATGAGTTTACCTACCCTTTCAATTTAATCTGACTTTATCTGTTTATTCTATTTCGTTTGGTTCTGTTTACTTCTCTTTTACGAAAAGTTTGTTTTACAATTGTGAAAGTGGTAAACTAGCTCGTGCTTTGTCTCAACTATATTTCTTTCGTCAAAATTACATTTGAAATCAGTTCTTTACAAAGAACCTTTTCAAACAATCAACTAATTTATACTACAATTATATATCTGAGCAATTTAATATCCTTCCATTTTACGTTTATCTAAATATCTTTTTCTAAAAACATAAAAAAAATTTACCTTCAAAATGTTGGATAATCGTTGAGCCTCCAAACGTTGCATAGCCAAGTCACGCTCGTCTTGTTTCTGATCTATATCTGTACACCTTTTCAAAGTATTATTTACCATGCTCGTTTGAGCTTGTGCATCGTTCTGAGCAGATCTCAGAAGATCCAACATTCTCGAGGTCTCCGAATGAGCTTCTTTCTCCGCGTCTAATTCTCGTCTGAGTCGCTCCATTTCTGACGAAACTGCCGCTATTGCTCTTTGTCTGGCTTCCCGCTTCAAGGTTAATTCTTTCTTGAATTCTTCGATGTTCATTGCACGATCAGTAGGGGGGCTTTCTTGTGGATCGTCTATTGATTCTATTGGACCTATTAAAAAAAAAAATAATAATAATAATAGTAAATAAAAAATAATAAAATAGGAAAAATTAGAAAATTGAAAATTTTTTCTTTCTCTCTTGCTATATATATATTTTTTTAAATAAATCGATTAACTTCCTAATCACGGAAAATTTTTTGAATTATAGAAAGAAATTGTAGAAAATATTTAATTTTATTTTTTTAACGTTTTTTAATTTATATACATATGAAAAAAAGATTTTAATAAAAATGAAAGATTTTTCGAAACATTTGACTGTCAATATAAAATAATCAGGATTTATTGTGAGGAAGACAGAATGTATATACGAAATTTACATTTTATAAAAGTTAAACATTTTTAATATCTATTTTATGAAATAATAATGTATTATTGTTTCGATTTTATCAGTTTTAATACTATTACTCAAACTTACCAATATCTTCTTTTAGATCATCATCCACGCCCTTCCTTTCAGTCTTGATAGTCTCCTTCAGTCTTTGAATCTCGTCCAAAGCGTCTTCAAGAGCCTTTATCTGCTTCTTCTTATCAGAGACTTCCTCTGATAGCTGCGCTTTTAATTTTAAAGTCTTCTGGCTCTCGATATTTATGATTTCCTCCTTCTCCAACAACGACTTTTGCAGATCTTGTTCGAGACTAGAGATCCTCGCTTCGGCAGTGTCCTTTAACACGTTGAACTCGTCGATTTTCTTCAACAGCCTTTCCGTTTCCTTCGTGGCGACATCAAATTTCGCCTTCAGTTTATCGTATTCCTCTCTATGCTTTTGCAAACTGAATTCTACTTGCTCCTGTCGTGCCTTGGATTCCTATGAAAAAATAATTATTGATCTTTCGTGCATAAGATAATTATCTTACAAGATCATTATTATTATCCCATATTGATTTTTTGACTTCTTCAATAATAGGAAACCAATAGTAAATATTAAACATTAAAAACTGCAAAATATTGTGAACGTTAAATTTAAATTTGTATACAAATTGTATTATTAAAAATGAAATTCTTCCGTATTCTGTTATATAATTCCTTACAAATAGCAAAGTGATCGAATAATATTATCTCAAATCTAAAAATATTAAGATATTCAAAGAAAAATAATTTATTATACAAAAAATTGGAACAAAAATTATTCGAAGACTACTATATTGACAAAATAATATCAATTCGTAGAACAAAAGATGATTAAGAATATTAATTAAAAACCAATCAAATTTACCTCGTAATCCTTCGTCAGCTTCCTCGCTATCGCCCTCTGTTCCGCCAAGTCTTTAGCCAACCTTTCATTTTCATTTCTGTACTCCAATCGCTTAGCCTTCAGACTTTCGACCTCCTCTAACAATCTGATCACTTCCTTCCTATCGAAACTCCTTTCCTCTTCATCACTTAGTCTACGTTCTTGCTCTTTAGGCTCTTCTAAATGCAAACGCTTCACCAAACAATCCGTTTCATCCTTAGACCTCGATCTTTCGAGTTGCTCCTCAACGTGTCCGGCATTTACTCTAGAAATGCTCTTCGTTCGAGCCTCGTCGCTCGTGATTTGCATTTTAAACTCGTGTTCAGGCACTACTTCGATACCACTTGGAAGCTTGTTACAAAGATCATCGATTATCCGTCGACAATGCGAGTCTTGATTCCTCGTTGAATCATAAATATTCGTAAAACTTTGTCGTTCGTCCTCCTTGTCCAATTCTCGAGACTTCATCATCGCCTCTAGCCTCTCCACCCTCGATCTCAGCTTCCTATCTTTCTCCTGACGAGAGGCATCCCTCTGCCTACACTGATAACCGTCCCAACTATCCGCCAAAAGATTCTCCAATCTCTCCACTCTGTCCTCCATCTTTCGCCTTTCTTCCTCATCCTCGTCAACCCTTTCCTGCTCCATCGTCAGTCTTTTCTTCAAAGCTTCGTCCACCGTGTCAGAGGTGGCTGCTCGTCTTCTGACTTTCCTTTCCCTTACTAACTCGACGTATAAAGCCTCCAAATTGGCCAGAGTCGCTGTATGCGCGGATACCAATTGTTGATTGGCCTTTGAGAGATGCGAGATCATTTTCCACAGCTCCATAGTTTCTTGGTGATTAGAGAACGAAGGGCCGTGCCCCTCGGCCGTCTGCCAACCTGTCATCTGCGCTGCGTACGTCAACTGCAATATAAATAAATGGACTAATTTCAGAGAGGCTAATTGAATCGAGACAATCGACGATCGGAATTCTGGTTCAAGGAATGGTTACGCGGTCAGATGCTTTCTTCGTATTGCAAATGAGAGGGATATCTTGCGTCATGTGTTGCATCGATTTTCGTAATAAGAAAAAAAAAAAAAGAAGAAATGAAGATAATTGGCAATTAAGAGGATTTTATAAGATCGATTTTAAGTTCGATTTCGTTTCGTGAAAAATTGCAAATCTATCGTTGAAGTTATGTATACGTCTATGTTGCATCTATGGCGCCATGTTGCTCGTTCGTACCGGTAAGGCAAGAATAAGTATTTCACTGAATTGACCGAAAATTCCAATTGATTTAACGAAATTTAAAATTTATATATAACAAAAGAAAAATTTAAAATAAATGCCTAGATATTTCTTAAAATAAACGTGATCCACAAAACGAAACTAAATCTACCGTTTTACAAAATTTAACGAAAAAAAAAAAAAAACTAACTTCAAAAAGAAAGATCTAACGAAAGATCCTACTGTAATAAACGGCACCAGCCGATCCCAAAAGGATTCGATACTCTTTCTTCAGTTCTGAAAACCCTAAACCGCCCCAGGCTTCCATGCAAACGTTGCAAAGGAGACCGATTGCTCGCACAGATATCGATCGCCGCCGAGTCTCAAAGCTCGATCCACGTCGAACGATCCACGAGAATGCACTGGCGCGAGGACGTTCTCTGAGGAGGCTCGAGATTCGGGGCACGTGATCGCTATCGATGCCTGCGAACTCGTCGCGCCACAGTGGCCGTGACTCAGCGTGTTCTCCCAAATCACCAAGAGCTTTTTGGAGGCTGGCCAGATTTCCCGCGGAACAAAAGAGCGCACCTCGGAAAATTCCTCCGGCATTCCACCGATACGTTTCCTCGAGAAGACAAAAACCAACCAACGTTTGCTGCATCGAAAGAGAGAGAGAGAGAGGAGGAGGATTCACAAGTTTATTGGTGTTTTTTAATAGGAAGTGACTGGATCCTTTTTTTTTTCTCTTCTTGAGATTCTGGCAATTTCGAGAATGAGAGTGAGTGATGAAAATAAAAATATATAGAGGCGAGACACGAAGATGTATCCTGGCTTGAAAGTTGTGGAATATTTATTATATTCGAGGATTGGAAAAAGGTGGTGGATGTTTGTAGAAATTTGATAGTTCGAGAGATATTGCTGTATTTTGTGGGTCTTTTTCTCAGAATTTCAAGGAATCGTAGAATAGATAGATATAAAAATATACGTATGAGACACGAGAATGATGATATTATCTTCGCTTGAAAGTCGTAGGATATCTATTTGCTCGAAAATTCGAAGAAATTAAGTGGTTGTTAAATTAAGTAATTGAATTGATGATTTTGATGAGATATATAAAAGATATATAATAAACATTAATAAGTATCGATCTATGGAATCGAATAGTTAATACATATCACTCCATTCCCAGAAAAATAAAAAGTGTACATTGGTCCTACAGGATTCTGAAAAATGATGTAATCCACAGGAAATTATACGACTAAAAATAATACAAAGGATGAATTTATGATCTTGTTTACGTTCTACTTTCTACTTACAATATCCATCATCCTGGGATTTCCTGTGCACCAAACATTCTACGTAGATCGATTCACTCGAACGATAATATATTTTCGTTCAACAGATTAACCGCAATCGTTCTAACTTCGCGTTTAAAACCGCGTTGCTTTCAATGAAGCAAGAACAAACTTTTGAGTGTTCACTTCACTTCTAAGGCTATAAAGTATTAAAATTTGGAATTTCGTTATTAATTTTATAAATTATTTCATAAATAACAAATGGTATAACGATTTCACTTACTATTAATTCAATTTTTCACAAAATAATAATCCATTTTATGAAACGAAATTTCGAACAAGCAGCAACTTTGTAAAAACGTAGAGAAACGTAGTTTAATAATAGAAATAATACGATTCCAAGAATAATCGATAAAAGAAGTTGCCCCCCATCGTTTCATTGGGAACGCGGCTTAAGGGATAAAAAGCTTCGCTCACCAAAGTTTCTCGGCGAGGAGATCGCAAGTTCGACAAACTCGGAGCCGATGGTCTTTGACTCCACCATTCTTCGTCTCTGAAGGTCGCGTAAGGACTCGGTCCCTGCAAGAATTAAAATAATATCCGATGTGAAACACGGCTAACCGCCCCGCACGATAAATATTCGTTTTATATTTAACCTGGGATCGAGGTTCTTCACCCACGTCGAACGCGTTGGCCCTCGTCCTTTGTCGTATATTTTCGTTCGCGTATTCCGGACACCAGGATTCCTCTGCACCGTAGACAAACGCCTCCTCGTTACGTCCCCTCGAAGGGGACGGTGCTCTGTTACTACTGCCAGCCGCACCCATGTTCCGCTTATTTCACTGAAAACGCCGATCTCCTCGTAGGTGTCGTGATGTTCGAAATTCGTTCGCCCTGCTCTGATAACGATTCGAGAAAAGTATCTGAAACAGGATTGGGTATTTGTTAATTACAATTATCGTATTAATACATGGTCGAAAGTGTTAACAATAAGTGGAATAACAAATATTAAAGAAATAATGTCAAATTGCTCTTCTTTTGATATATGTTTTTTTTTTTATGAAGTGTGAGTATTTATGATCTAGAATCTTTTTTTTTCAATGAATGTTTGTAAACGAGAAAAGGTGGATTTTCGCACAAGGAAATCTTAATTTCTGCGATTTTTTAAAATTTTTATTTAGCTTTGAAATTTTTTAATCGTTCTTCCTCCACGTTCGAAACTTTTAATAAAAAGTTTCTGAACTTCCACGAAGGCGGGAATGGACGTCTCATAAGTTTCGTTTATCAATTCAAACTTTCCAAAATTACCAATTTATCCTCGAAGAGTTATGAAACAAGAAAATCAAGTCAAACAAATCTGTTCGTTAGTCTTCCCGGTAATGCACGAAATCTCAATTAACTTGGTAGAGTGAGTTGGCACAGGAGGAAAAAAAGTCGGAGCCGGGGTCAGCTCGTATTTTTAGAAGACAGATAGGTCTAGATCTTTTTTAAAAATTTGTATTAATCTTTCTTGACAAGAAAAAGCGAGGGAAAAGGCGATTTCGTTGTTTCGAATGGAACAAACGACTCGAAATTTCTTCCCCTTATTCTTTCAATACTTCGAAACTCCTCTCTCCTCTGATGGAGGAGATCAAAGGTGTCACTTTTACAACGGAGAATCCTCGAACAAGCTTTATGACTCGCGTGCCGCCACGTCTTTCCACGCAATACGAGGCGCGATGTAAATATGCTTAAATATAACTCGATCGGCTGCACATTTTCCAACGAAACGAAAACAAAGAATAACATTCTTCGACTCTCACGCTGCTTCGTGCACGAATTTGCCTTTACATCATCAGAAAAAATTGTAAATACATTAACTCGGCTTAAACGAGATTAAAAATTTTTTGAAAAGTGGAATTACTTCTATATGGATCGATTAGACTTTTAAACAACAACAAGATCCGCCAAATAATTTTCTTAAAATGATAAACAAAAGAACGAGGCTGATTCTTTGATATTCGTACATTTATAAGTCTACATTCCACTTGGCTTGAGCGTGTTAAAAGATTCAAATCGAAGATTTGCGAGAAGGGAGTAAGATCACGTATAATCAATTGCAACACAAACGTTCAACGGGACATCGGTGGAGACAAACGAGAACACGAGTCGGATGCCGTAAATACATCATAAATAGATGTACCGAGCGGTTCAACACGGGATCCAAATTTAGATCCATAAGAACGGCCCGGCTTCGAATTCTATCGAGTATATAATTTAAAAACGTTCGCACAAGTTTCGATGTTGGATATAATCACGAGACTGGAGATTGCGCAGAAGCAAGAGGATATTGCGAATCGAGCGGAAACGACGAGGATTTGATTTTGACGTCGATTATTTACGAAGATCTAATCTTTCTTTGGATGATTCTTTCGTTGGTTAACTCACCCGTCGGTGGTCATCCGATGGTTCATAGGGTTCGATTTCCTTAGGGTCAACGACGACACTTGACTACCGTCGCTGCTTGCGGCCAGCGACTCACTTCTCTAAAAATACCGTTTTCGAAAGACCGCGTGCGCGTGGACGGCGAAGCGTTTGTTCGGTAGCCGCGCATGCGCGCTCGCCATTTCCGTACAACGCCAGAGACCGATCGAGAGTGTCGGTTACTTTAGCTTCAGTAAACTTCCTGGATCGTTGAGGTGATCGGTTTTTTGGCGAGGGATCGAATGAGTTGTTTCACGTTTGTTGTGATCCGGCATTGGAGGAAGGGATGTCGAGACGTTTGTTCTATATATGAAGAGTTATACCGACGCATGACTTATATAGTATTTGCTTAATGATAAATTCATTTTATCGGTATTTGAATTTTGAATATAATTTATGTGAAGTTAGTTGTTGCAAATTGGACGTAAAAGATATTTTTAATACTGAATAATGAAGGGAAATATAAATTCAATTATCGAGAATATTTTCTATATCAAATAAATGTTGTGAGATAAATGCGTGTCAATAAATATTTATCTTTGCAATTGAATTTCGAATTATAAGATAAAGCCTGATTTAACGACCTGTTAAAAAGTGATAAAATTTTATTAATCAAGTAAAAAATTAACTTACATTTGTAATTACAAACCTAACATTATTTTCTCATTATAATAAAAAATTCATGAAATAATGATTAAGTTATCGTATGCAGATATGAAAAGCCATTTTATTAATCTAATTTTTATTAATTTATTTTATAAACGCAACATTTTATCAATCTGTCTGTGATCCAACTAAGATTTCGTAAATAGCAATTACTGCTCTCAGTTCTGCTGTTGGCACACGTTCGTTATTAAAATTGATCATAGTTATTTGTTCATATACCGCTAACATTAATTCGTACATTAATTTTATATTAATACAAAAATTAGTTTTCATAGAGGAAATATCATTCAGTAAATCTTGAATAGTCTGTGAACTTACAAATTGCGAAGAAAGTATCAATAATTTATCCAATGCGGATAATCGTTTTGGCAAATAAAAAGACACCGTCAATCCTCTGTTTAGAAAAACGATTTCCAGAAAAAGGAAGGAAATTTATGCCAAAAGAACTGCGTACAATTTATAAAATAAAATATGGAAGTGTTAAATCATAAACTAATTGCGATTGTTTGTTTGGCAAATTTTCTGGCATCGTAAATTTACAACTAGCCCCCATGACGAGTATATACGAAAGCGAAATCGAAGAAGAAACGCAACGAAAACACTACTTGAATCTAACAATAGCGCCGCTCTTAATCTATATTTAGTCAATTTTTCGAATGATTCGACGCAGCAGTACACGTGTTTGTGAACAGAAACGTCTCAACTTCCTGTACGACGATATCTTCTTGTCAACATGGCATTGGAATAAAAGGAGGAGTTAATAAGCTTAATTATATAATTTAATTATAAAACTTATCGAACAAATTTTATCGATATCGAATTCCATTTTAAAATTAAAATTTATCGAGAATCATTCTTCAACTGGTTATTTTGTTCATTTTAAGATAGTTAAAAGCAATTTAAAAATTCATTAAACGAGTTATATTATCGATAATAAGATTATAAAAGTTTCAAAATTATAAAATGAAGGACTAACTTCGATTCGTTATTTTGCTCAACTTAAGCTTATCTGCAATATAATAAAAAAAAGTTTTATCTAAAAATAATTTAAGAGACGATGCATAGGGATTTATTATCATACGAATTATTTTCATGGCCAGGTGATCATGAATCATGAAAATTAAATGGATTTATTGAATATAATACACGAAGGGTATAATATTATTCGATATAATATTATATCGAGTGGCAAGCTTACAACATAAAAGAGAATGAATTCGAAGATTATCTTAAAGATCAAATATATTTTATTATATTTACAAAATTGCACTAGCTAAATTCTCTATTGTCGCTAGGCGAATTAAAATGACAACAATAACAAATTTCGCAAGATGGAACTTGTTGTTGAGAATCCGCTTAATTTCGTGGATTAATACCTGTAAAATATATTTGCAAAGATGACTCATGCCATGATGCTTTGCTGTGTTTACAATATAAAAATAATGAAAGCTTTTTCTTCAGAATTCGATTGTCTACATTATAATATAATTTACAATAGGATAATTTTAAAGAGAAAATGTAAAATTTCAAAATTTGAGAATTTATAAAAATTAAAAAATTTAAAATCCTAGAAACTTATGAAATTTATGACATCTTAAACTTTTCAAGATATTTATATGTAGTGTTATATGTTGATATAATATTCAAAAATATTTTAATTAAAAAATTTTTAAATTTGAAAATTAGATATTTGAATGTTACGACATCTCAAATTTCAAGATATACACACGTGTATTAAGATGACTAAAATTTGGGAACTTAAAAAATTCGAATAAAAAGAATTAAAAAATTTGAAAAATATTCATTACTTGATAACACCAAATTTGGCATTTCTACCCTTTATCAGAATCGCGGATAAGCCATTTTTCGTCACGTCAATGCTACTACTGTGACGTCGTTCCGCATAGTTATCGATCATCTGATACATTTCATCGGATATCTCCAAGTCGCATTCGCATTGAAGCGCCCATTCTTAGAAAGGAAATAAACAAAATGAAAATACGCATTCAGTTTTATTCTCATATGAATACTTTACTTAATCTTACTATCTACCTTTCACATTATCGTTATCAATCTTTTTGTTAATACTAAGCGTTTTTGACGTATTCAAATGACAATCGCAACAACATTTTAACGAATCCACGCTTATCAACGAATCCATATTCTGCCCGATATTTTTCTCGTCGTAAATTGTATTTTTCGTATCATCTAATTTGTCCTCGGCACAGTTAAACTGTTCGATTTTACAAGTGGCTTTGCATGTATTATCATCTTCGTTCGTTGTGCCCGTGGCCTCTTTCGTTATATAAGAACCGCTGGAATTATTAAACAACGCGCTGCTAGATTTGCAATCTGCAGTTCAACCCGTTTCTTACCGCCGATTCTCATGATCCTCTTCTTTAATCCCTGTCGCCTCTATCGAAATATTCGTATCGAACTGAGGCTGTTGCTCTTCCACAGACAAGCTAATGTCAAACTTTTTCTCGTCTTTCACAGCCGTGAACTCTTTTTTTACAGAGAACTCTATCTCTTTTTTCCAATTCTTAATCATAACTTCTTTATTATCCTCCATTTTGAACATGTGCTGCGAAAATTATTTTTTTATTTACATAACCGTTGTAAAATGTTGATTTTTATCGATAACCATGCAATTTAATTTTTCTCAATTTTCATTACAGTTTTTTTTTTTCTTTAAATAGCTTCATAGATTTATTATTTTTTAAATAGAATCCGTGTATATAAATATATACGGTCTCCACTTATTTTTTATATATGCTTATCTTAATATAAATACATTTTGGATAATATAAAAAAATTTTTGATGAACGAAAAGTTTTTTTTTTTTAAATTCTGATAGATTTAAGATATTTCAACTTTAACTGATTGAAAGCTTAAACATTTCAGAGATGCTATGAATAGATTTATCAATAGGTACTAAATGATAAGATTGATGTCGTTACTATTATAATTTCAATCAATATTAACATTCAACCATCGTGATATTTTAAATAAAAAATAAATCTTTACTGCTCTTACATTTGATATAAACAAATATATATATATATATATTTAACATATTTAACTTAGCTATTTAACTTAACTTTTTATTTCAGATAAAATGAAACTATTTAAAGAGAGATTGTAATGAAATGATCAAAATCGAGAAAAGTCATGATTATCTCTTTACTATCAGATAAATTTTTACCGATAATTGAGGAATATTCTCTACTCGTTCTACTTTTATTATTGCTTCGTTGTTATATTCTTTCATTTCGGAGGATTGGTTCAACATTGAAACTTCAAGAATAGGAAGAGGTTTATCACCTGCCTCGTCGCGCATCAGAGGTAGATCCTTTGGTTTTATTTTTTGTACAATCATCTGAAATAATAAAAAATAATTATTTTCTTTCTCTGTATTAATAGAAATGATGAAAAATTTTCTTTTCGCGTAATTTTCTTATTTCAATAATTCACATATTCCAAAATAAAATACAAACATAAAAGATAAAATGAATACCTCTTTTCCTGATTTATCCATAATCTTTACAGTCCCCATAATATTCAGACATTTGAACATATCCGCGATGAACGCCTCGTAAGCTTGCAATTTCTTTGTCAAAGCTGTTTGCGCCATTCTTTCGCTTTTCACAGTTGCTTCTGTTAATTCTAAGTCGCGAGTGAGACGGTTCACTCTCGACACGAGTTGTTCATTATGCAATACTAGGAACTGCACCTAAAAAATAAAATTTTTTCGTGATGATGTATTGTTGAAGAGCTTTTTTGGAAAAAGAGTAATAATGATAATCAATCGAAATCGATCGAAATTATACAGATTATTAATGTATTCATGGAAATCATTCAGGGAATCGATTCTCTAAAATAAAAATACAGGTTGAGACTTATTTATTTAAATTATAAATAATTGAAGTTAGATGAAAGCATAGATAAAAAAGTTGTATCTCATTTCTTTCATCTGAAGCAAATTTAAACAGTGTTTGTAATTTAATAAATAAGTCTCAACCGACATTTTTATATACCAACTTTTGTTTGTTTTGAGAATTGATCCTATCAAAAATAATGTTCCAAAATAAAAAAAATAATATCAAGAAGAAGAAATCATAGTTTCTTTCAATTTTGCAATACAAGCTTAATAATTCTCTTATCAAATATTGAAACGAAAACAACCGATACGAAGTTTAAAATAAGACTACATTTATCTCACCCTGTTCGTCGTGAACGATGCCGATTTCGAGCAGAATCGGCACGTCCTCTCGGTTTTCTGTCTTTGATCTCCAAACGATCGCCTGGCACGATACGATTGACCGATATTGTCGGTCGATCGGCTACATCCGATTATCTTTCCCGTGTTCCCGATTGTCGGTGACAGAATCGTGGGTACATGATTATCGTTGACAATGTCATACTGAAAAATTTCGTTCGATTCTTAGTGTTGAGTTGGCATTTTTCGCCGGCCAACCGGAAATTGCGAAATCATCCGGTTACAAGCTTCCACTTACGTCCGGCGTATTCGAGCTTAGATCGAGGGGGCGAACATTTGGGGTCACAATGAAGCGGAAATAAGAGCTAGTTCCCAGGATTTCTATTTCTTTGCTCACGTAAACGAATTGATAATCGACGTTTGGCAATGCCTGTAGAGCAGTTTTTAATAACAACGATGGAAATCGAGAATTGTTGTAAATATTTAGATTCTTAAATATTATAGATTTCTTGCATCAGATTTTTAAATTATGATTGTGATGTGAATTTAAAATCAAATGAATTTTCAAATTAAAATAATAAAAATATCGTGTAATTCCAATTTCATTCAAATTATTTTTTAATATTCTTTTATTCTATGGTTAATTGTTAAGCATTTCTCGTACTCGTGAAAGTGTAATAAATTTTAAAGAAGATGAAAATTATCAAAGATTGAAATAATAAATTTTGAATAAGATTAGGAATTAAAATGAAAAAAAGAAAATCCTCGAATTCATTAAATTTAAGAATCGTCGCCTTATACCATTGTTGTAATAATATTTAATAACCTCTCGATGGAAAGTATGTAAAAACGTAATACTTCGATTGGATAAATTCGATAGATTCTTAGGTGATACAGTGACGTATTCGAACGTGAGATATTGCTGCAGATTGGTCCACCCTCTTGGAAAAATTCCGATCCAATCACGCGTTGATGTATGAACCTCAAAAATTCGATTATATAACGTACTATGTAATTAGTTAAAATCGATAAGATTTTACTCACTCTCTCTTGTATTGTGTAATATACAAGTATGTTCTCGTCGATAGTGTATTTCGTTCTTAATTTCTCGAAATGAACTCCATTGGTATACTGACAGTGAAACGTGCCACGTGCACAGCAATACATTTTCATGAATATTTTATGACAGAGGAACAAAGTCCAAAGAGGAGATCAAGAGATCGCTTTGAAAACAGTCGAATTCAAAGTGCATTTATTATTTGAGAAGAGATGATCAAACCATCGTTGATATAGAGAATTTAATAAACAGAAGAATTGCAAAACTTGCATACTTCAGTATTCTTGATTTTATACAAATTGGAATAATTAATAGTATAATATTGACCGATTTAATAATCGATTTAACATATGGTTATTTCAATATTATAACTATTCTAACTTCTTCTCATAACATAATTTAGAATATTTTTAACACTTGTAATAAAACTTGTAATAATCAAAAAATATAAATTTACTTTTAATTTAATAAAAATAATTAAAAATATATAGTATTGTCTATATTTATTACTGTATTGTAATTGTTAAATCCATAAATTAATAATAAAAATTTAAAAATTGAAACATTATTGATCATATCGTGCTTTTTTAATTTTTATAATATTTATATTTAGATTTTTCTAATTTATTATATCATTTATGCCATTATTATTATTTTTATTTATATATTTTACATTAATTTTAATAATTTATTTTCATATTCTTTGAAGATATTCTTAGAAGATCTAGAAGTGTCAACTCCTCGTGATGAGATTTGAAAATATTATATCAAATTAAAGTTTTCAAATCATATTTGATTAAAAATATTATATTAGAAATATTGTAATAAGAAAAATTACATTAGATAAAAAATTTATTCTTTGGAAAGCAATATCAAGAAAACTATATTTTAATTTATTTTTTATACTTTGTTTCTCATTATTTTTATTTTTATTTTCCATATTACAATTAATCTCAGATTTAATTAATTTTTATCTAAAAATTTTTTATAATTTGATTAATTTTTATATCAAATAAATTTTCATATTACAAAAATCCATAATTAATAGGCCTTGTATAGTAATTTAACTTTCGCACGGCTTAAGTAAATAAGAAATCCCCTCCAATCAATTAGAACCGATCAAGGTGAATTTTAGCGTGAGGCGTCATTCGTCTATCGAAACACGTCATTGTGAAAGGACGTGTTATCGATTTAAGTTATGTGACTATATTTCAAATAATTTTATTCGTATTCTATTAGTGAATTCATAGATTATTAACTGTTTTTTATTTATTTATTTATTCATTAATCCAAAATCGTGATAATAAAATTAATTCTTAAATTCTTTTATACTTTTGTCTTCGTTCATTGATTGTTGAGGTTAGTAATTTGCATTACATTATAAACCTATTTTTTATAGAATTTTAATTTAATATAATTGTTTTATTTTAATATAATTATAATTATAATATATATATAAAACTTAAACGAACGTGTTTTAAACTTAATAGTTTTTTATTTATTATTTTTAAATATTCATTTTTAATATATATTTATTATTTAAATAATAAATCGAAAATAAAAATTTAATTCCTATGTTAGTCACAATTAATCATAGAGGGCGTAAGAAACACTTTGATTCTTTTCTTTGAAGTTGGTATTTCAGAACACGAAGTACCATAAGATGAAAATGTACCATTTCATTTTTAGTTTCAATTCTAACCATTGGTAGCGTTGTAATCTCCTCTATGCTTGATTGATAAGGATGAAAATGACAAAAAAATGGTAATAGAAGTGAAAAGTGTATAAATATCGTAATTATATAAGAAAAATATATTACATTATTAGATCTATGATTTTCTCTATGCGCATATAAATATGTAATAATTATAAGTCTGAATTCATAAACTCGAATGCAAATTCTTTCATAAACGCAAATCACTATTATTGATTATAAACAACATGCTGATTAATAAAATTCATTTTTTTATTCAATTAATTCACATATTGCTGTAAATTATATAAATCATATATATTAAATATATTCTTTAAAATTATTATATTCCTAATATATAACGAATTATTAAAAAAAAAGGAAAAGAAAAAGAAATATTTGAACAAATTAACGATAATTAATATAAATTCATCATTTGTAGAGAAATATATATGTGTTCTAATTAAATTAAATTAACAAAAATTAAGTTTGCCAATAAAGTGACAATGAAAAATTATTGTAACGCGCATTACACATGAACGTTCAACAAAAGAAATTTTCGAAAAATGCCGCCATATTGTAGATGACACGCGCATGCGTTTCGTCTACCGCGACGTGTTCCTATTGGTCAATTCCGGAGTCGGCTCTCTGGAGTGCACGCGCGCTCAGGTGCCGTACTGATCGCTTCGATGACAAGGCCGCCAGTTACTGTTCGTGCACGAATGCGACGAAATACCCGAACGTCTTGGCGGGTTTTCGCTCGGAGCTGTGTTCACGAGACCAGCTCAGCAACGAGGAAACGAAGGTGACGTTTCTACGAGAAGGAAACAGTGAACGTTCAACTGTAAACGAGAAGAATAAGGACCAGCATCGAGGTACTTGCACACAGGAGACACCAACGCACGGAGAACCTGTCGAGCACCTGAAGTTGCATTTTAGTCCAACTTTGGCCGCGCTGATAGGCGGACGATTCGCAGGTGAGTGAGCTGTAAACGATGCGTCGGCGCGACTAAGCACGCGGTTTCTCCATCTCGCTTTCTCTCATATCCTTGTCACGTTCACGGATTTCAATGAAAAATTTCCGTGCCTATCCATAGTGTATATACAGACATTTAGTTCTACGCATCTCAATGAATACGTATTCGTATCTCTTTCAACAACAATACTCAATCTTTTTCGTTTTAAAATTTCATTTATTTTTTTTTATCTATATTATCATCCGAAAATCCACGAACTCGAATGATTCCGGGATTGTGTGACGGCTCCAAGTGACCGATGAATATTTGACAAGAGACTGACAGAAATTCGATTAATAGAGGCGCTCTGCTCGAGACGCGGATCGTTATCGATGCTGCCCTTTCCTGACAGATCTTTCAAATACACGTATCTCTCTTGTTTCGATTCCCAAAATAATGATTTCATAAACGGTGATCGAATATGAAGAAGAGGGAGCAATCTTTTCATCCTGCTTCGAAATGGATTTGCTCGTCTCTTTTCCATCAATGGATTAATCGAGATTTAATCGAGACAAATGATGGAAAAGAATTAACGATTTGGAAGGATCATAGTAACGGTATTTAAGTATTCTCTTAGATTTGCCAAACGTACATAGAAGAACTTCGCTCGCGACCTTGATCGTAGAGTTGGTATAGCGGTATACTCGAGCCGCGCGCGTCGATAATTCCTGTCGTGCATTCTCTGTCTCGTATTCGTCGTCTTCGCGCCAATCCGCTCGTTCCCCTCTCAGCTGTGCATCGATACCTGTTTACAACGTGTTCCTTCCCGATCCTTAGAGTATAAACGTGTTCGTTGCCTATCAACTGTCAAACGTGGAAAAAATTTCACTGTTAGGCGGCAACAAATTCGAAGAAATAGGAATTAGGATGGAATGATGAAATTTCGAAAATATCGATTTCGGTGGTATCGTAGAATAATTTTTCGATTTTGTGGGAGTTAGTTATGTGTGTATATTTGTTACGTAATGTATAAAATTATGTTAAATCTATTGAAAGTGCAAATACGATAAATATGGTTTAAATGGATAGTTCAGAAATTGAAATTTCGAATAATTTAACGTAATTTAAAAACAAATTCCATTGTATTCAAACGAAAGGTCGCGACTTTCGATATTTACTAATTAAAATTTTAAATTAGAATTTCTTACATTATTAAATTATTTTGAAAATATATGAAAATAAAATTGTGTTATATATTTATCACGAACGAGATGCAATAAATGAAATTTCGAATAGTTTAATTTAATTTTGGAATAAATTCTTTAATTCGAATCTAATTTAATATCATGATATTAATTGACTATCTATTGTCAATCTATTGTTAATTGCAATTTTAAAATAAGATTGAATTTTATGAACAAATTTTGATAGAATAAAAGTTTGTTTCGCTGAAAATGTGTCAATTCCGATTGATTTTCGGAGAAGCGAAACTTTTTTTCTACATCGTAGAAGTTCGTACAATTTCTATAGCATTCATCTGAAATATTAAAGTCGAAATTTCAATCATTTTTGCCATAAATGTTAAATAAACTAAACAAATTTGCATCTACTCCGAATAAATTGCTAATTCGTGCAAGGAATACATATTTTCAATAAATATTTCTATAAATATTATTTGTTTAAATTGAGTTTCTATTTGGAATACATTTTTTCATAGATTTTTATAAATTCTCTTCTAAAATTATTTTCGAATAAATTTTCGTTCGTAAATTTCGCTCGTTCGAATTTGCTGTCGTAACTTTGAGGTTAATCCTTTTATTGTAAATTAAATATTTCTAATTTAAAACTTATTGTTTCACACGTACACGCACACATAATAATTAATCTTTGGTATATAAATGATCGATTGAAGTGAAGCGAAATACACGAAATAAGTAATTTTTTAAAATTAAAAACGATATTACGTATTCCAAATATTTTCTCGAAATATTATGATTTAAAAAAATAATTCTCAAAAATTATTTTGATATTTAAAATACACTTCCATTCCGGGAAAATAGAAATGAACATTTCCTCTAAATATCCGTGTATTGAATAATGTAAAATATTTTTTGAATTTTTTCTACATCGTATAATTTATGTTAATTGAAAAATCAGCATTGATTACGTAATCGTCATTAGCATTTTACATAAAAAACAAAAATTTGTCAGATGCAAAAATGAAATAGATCTTAAGTTTAAACTTCTTGAATAATTTAATACCACAAGTTTTACAAAGGATTTAAAGTTTTGTAATACGATAAAAATTTTCGTCCTTTATTTAAACTTTGAAACTTTCTACTTCGAAATACCTGAAAATACAGGAAAATACTTAAAAAAAAGAAAGAAAAAAATAAAACGGAGCATTAGACCATCCCGTGAGGTAACAAAGGAAAAATAGAATATAGAAATAATGGTAAACGGGTCAATTAGTTGAACATTTGCTTAGGTAAACTTGGAAATCTCCTTTCTGTTCCATTTCAGAAGTTCGACGTACCGCATTCTGTATTAAGGTTTCCAGAAAGTCTTACAATGGAGCCTCGCAAAGAGTGTATTCAGTATCGTTCTCTTTATGAATCGAACAAAAGGCGACATTGCGATCGCAATAGTCTGTAATATACTCAAAGCATTGGAAATACTATAATTAATACAGATCAAGTATATTTAGCCAAATTGCAGAAACGATGAAATTCTATCGGATAATTATCTTCGATTGAAAAATTTAATCAGCAAAATTGAAAGACTTCGTGAAAAATGTTGAGCATTTCATCTCAATGTTCTTTTTTCCCCCCTCTTCTTTCTAAATATTTAGAATATGTGATATAAATGTTACGTATTTATTATTTGTAGAAATTAATTTTATGGAAAGAAAGTAAACATTACGTTAATTAAAAATGAAAACAAATTTACTTTAAAAATTTGTAAATTTATTCAAAAATTTATATTTGAATAAAAAGACTAATAATTTTAAATATTCTTTGCGTTGATAAATATATGTAGATAATAATTTCATTGCATTTCGTTATTTAAAGATTACATTCGAATGTAAAATGTTTGCCGGTTAATTAATCCCAAATTGATTTCGAACAGCAGTGATTTCTTATTACGATTTTTATAACGATATTAAAAAATTTTAATTCCTCTTTATAGAATAAAAGATTATAGAACTTTTTTCTATTCTATATTCATTTAATAAAATTATAAAAATTCCTTGATTCTAATATTAAAATCAAAATCAAAATCAATCTATTTTTTATTTAAATCTTAAAAGATATAAGATACAAAATATTAATTCAATTTTTCTTTTTTTTTTCACTTGCACAAAAGAATTAAATAAATACTTAGTTTTTTCTTTCATTCAATTTTCCATTTAAACCAATTTCATGAAAAGATTATAATAAACACATACATAAATATAATATTGATCTTTGTTGAATATATGAAAATATCTCTGTCATATCGGGAAAAAAAAACACAAGATCTACTTCTGATAAATGTTTATCTACTAAATGTTTATTCTACAATTACACAATTGTTGTGAAAATAAAATAAAACCGAAGAGTTTTGTTAAAAAAAAAATAAAAATACTCAGACGAATATTTTTTGAATATTTTCCAATCGTATTGTGTTTTCACAATATTAAAAATATATTCGTCTCGCCTGTTATCCATTTAATCGCGTCAATTATCTTAAAATATACCATATCAATGCCTCGATCTAACAATAATTCAACAGTTTTCTACACTCTCGAGATGTTAAAAAGTTTTTCTTCGATAACAAACGACATTATCAATTTTCGATTTTCCTGTTTTCTTTTCTCTCTCTCTTTACATAACTTTTTTGCGTTTCAAAGTGATAACCGATCGACGCAGTCACGTCACGAGTTAGTAATCTGATCGTTAAATGACCTCTGTCATTTATCGCGCAATACATAATGGGATCGTGCGAAGGAGTTAAAAAAGCGTGGACGTATCGCGAGGCTTGACGTATCCGAGAATCAATCGAGGCACAATGGGCGATAATCGGAGCATGACAAGATGCAGATCGAGCCATTCAATTACACGGTTCCGGATTTGCGAATTTACCGTAAATTATTCCGGGGACCTTGTGCTTTGGAACCAGATGATAAAAAAGTCGCAAAACCGGATCCGAGAAAAAGCTATCCCAGCTATTTCTGTCGTTGAAGCCATTCAAAGGAAAAGCGATATGCTTAAGTGTTACGTGAAAGTAGTCGATAATTTGAGGATGTAAAGTGGACGTGTTATTCGATTCGAGCTAGTTTGGGAAGGAAGATTTAGCGTTCAAAGATAAAATTTGCCAATTCTCCGCAATGGTGGAAAAAGTTACGTGACAAAATTAATCCCGTGCTTATTGTCAAGATATTTTTTTTTTTTTTTTACACAGATCTTAAATACGAAAGAAGAGATAAAAATAAATAGATAAACAAACAAATGAAAAAATAGAATTTATATCCATCGTTATTTGAATAATAATAAAGTCGAATAAAAGAAAAGGCAAATACAAGAAACAAAGAAAGATGAAAAGTAAAGGCATCATTTTAAAATTCATAGTTGAGAATTTAAAAGTAAAATTTATATAACACTTCAATTCTGAATAATAGTAAAGTAAAGTAAAAGAAAGATGAAAATGATTGAATTAATTTTCGATTCGAATTATTTGAAAACTTGACGAAGCAAATTTTTTAAGTCTAAAAATAAAATTTATATCTACTATATTCACAAGTTTGAATCATCAAGAACAAAGAAAATAAGAACAAATAAATTTGCCTAATAAATTACGTAAAATGCATCCTTCCATGATATTTATGGTAATAGAGTAATATCGTGGAGTGTAATAAACATACAAAATAACGTGCCTGTAGAACTTGCTTTTTCATTCTTTAAACGGAAATCTTGACGAGTTCACGGTAATTCGAAGCGAACGAAGCTTCTTTCTGCACGTCGCGTAAGATTATGTTCAAC